AAGACACTGACACAAGTATTATCACAGTTGACACATCTTTACTATTGAAAAGGATAATTAAGTGGAACTTATTTGAACCTTTGGTGACCTTGACCAGCATAAGAACACCTTAACATATGAGGAAAAACAACTTGAACATTTAAATCAGTGTTTTAGGATTCAACTTTATTTGAGAACTAAGGCATATTTTGTATCATTGGACAACAACTTTCTGACCACCTTTGGTAATGGAATACACTCAATAGCAAACTATATGTAGTCTGCACGTCAACCGAATAAATAAAATGTATCACCCTCATTGTTTATTAAATTGAATTAGGGCTTCCCAGGTGCCAAAATAAAACGTTAAAATCCCTAACTTAACTCATTTGTGAAAAATGTTTCTTGTTCAACGAATCTCAAAGTGCAAATTTCATAAGTTTCAAACTACATATAAAAGTGCATCAAAAAAATTAACATTTCCTGCATTTATAATTTATTCTAAATTAAATAAACAGTGGGCTGAATGCTTTTTTTGACAGTTTTGAGGCATGATTACTCCTGATTGAAAAATCAGAACTTAATCACTCAGAGCAACACTGACATGATTGATCACAGACACTGCAGGCAACACACATGGTAAGACCCAGCCAAAAATCTGTGCCTGCGCTGTAGGATGATCAGAAAGCTTTGGATAGGTCTAGGCCTTCATAAATTGGAAATGTACATGGGCAGGTTGACAACAGCTCTAGCTACAGTGTATTAGCTATAACTTTCGAAACTTTTGTTTCGGTGTCAGACATGGCCAATAGGCGGTGCACATGCACAGACATATAAACGCGTACCTCAGTCTCATGCTGTAGCACCATGCGTTTTTTGCGATAGGTTTCCGTTTAATTCTAGCACAGCTGATATTTAAGCAGATAGAGCATTCTAGGATGTACAGATTGAAAAAGTAATGTCCAAGATTGAAGTTAAAGATTAATGTAATGTAATGCTAAAATGGCTGTAGTGAAGTTGCCAGTTCCGCACGAAAGTCTCAATAGTCTAGTTGCGCCATTTTGACTTTTCTTTGTTGCCTGGGCACTGTGCACTGTTATTCACCTGCCTCATGATGCATGTATGTCTGCACAGTTTGCAGAACAAGTCTGCCCTACACTCACACGTACCAACGTACATACACAGGTGTACAGGCGTTTGCGTTAGCATTGCAGCACAACTGAATTGAGAACTGCGTCACTGTCTTCATTAAATGAAATTGTGGTAAAGTGGAGTTGAATGCAGGTGGGGAAATAGGCTGGACTTGGGCTGAGTCCTCGTGGTGACAGAGTTCTCAATTGTTGATTCTGAGTCCATGTCCCAACTATCTGAGTCCAGGTACTTGAAAATCATGACTCAAGTCCAAGTTCAGACTTGAGTCCTCCAGCACTGCTAGTGGATGCAACAAAAATGGTGACTTTTTGAAGTAAGGAACCTTTTTGGAGACCATTTTAAAATTGAACAAATCACCCATCTGAACAGCTTCACAAATACATGTACACATAATTACATGGAAGCTGAAGTTAAAAAGAATCAACGGAAACCTCCAAGTGGGAGGGTTGAGCACTATAAAACAGAGCTAGAGGCCCTTTCACATAAACAATGGAAACACACATCTGTGTCTATCACAAAGAGTCACCTGCATTACAAGCATCACAAGCTTTAGTATAACGCAGCACATTAGTGAATGTCCGTTGTTCTGCAGCATTCATATTTGTGTTGGTGGTACAGCGATATTCTTTAAATGGTAGAATTATAGGATACCAGCAATTTCCTGCCATATACGGGCGTGTTATTTTGCAAGTTTCCACAAAAGATTTGAATTCAATGATGACAAAACATTACTGCCAGTTGAGGGCTGCCCTAGCAATGCACTTGTCTGTCTTCTAGATTCTGTAACTCAATTTTATGACATTTTTTCATTATCAGACTCATGAGTAGGCATATCAGCAACATGATTTTCATGTCTGGGTAATTCTAGCCTTGTTACCAACCGCCCAGGTGTCAAATTTATACAGAAGATACTTAAGCTCAATCACCCGAAATGCTTGAAGAAAACACTTTGTTTTCTCTTTTTTTTTCTTATTCAAGACTCAAAAGGAAAGCTTTTTAAAGGGACAGTGAAATTCCTTTTGCTGTTGGCATTTGTGGCTTTGCAGGACAAGGCCTTCATAGATCTGATTCGCGCCTATCAAATATAAAGACACTGTAGTAATGTGTGCCTTAAAAACACACTGTTGATGTACACCGCATTGTTGATCATGCATTCCATGAGTCCACTATATGAATTTTTAATATGACAGCTACAAGTTATCTCATACTATGAGAGAATTTGTTGGTGGGAAATAGGATGAACTTCTTGATTCTCTGTACAGTTATGCAATATATATTGCATTCTGTAAAAGTTTGTACTGTCATTGACACTGCTTTGTACATTACACGTACTGAACCATTCCTGCGACATTGATGATTATCAATGGCATGACTAAGTGCTGAAAGTGTGGGATACCATATGCCCCAACGAACTGTACTAAATTAACTGTGCTATCAAGAAATCAGAACAATCAGATGGAACTAGGAGAATGATCAGAAATTAGAATAATTTTGTTCACTCTGACATTTTGCAAGCCACTTGGTTTAAGTGCACAGCTTCAGACAAATGCTTCCATGAAAAAAAATCACGATGTCATGTACCATGTTTCTCAAAAATGGAATTAGAAACAAATTTGTTCATTCTCTTAATTTAGATAACATTACAAGATTACTTGATCCTTGAATACTATTGACTGATTGAACAGTTTGCAAATTGCAAAATTTGCTCCAATTTTTGGCTTAATTTGGTACTTTCTTTTTCTGAAAAAGGGCAAAATGTCCGCAAAGGCAAGGCAAGTTGCCTTCCCAAGCTGGATACGCCAATTTAATCAAACCTTTATGAAAAGCCAAAATGCAAAAGTCAAAATGCAAAGCTGTCTTGGCATTACAATATTTTCTTCTTTACTCTTGATTGAAAATAATACACACCAGGTGACATGACATTTGAAATTTGGCCAATTTTTGATTTTATTTCTTTAAACAGCAAAACACACAATCATTTGAACATGTATACTCATTTTATCGATGTATGCTTGTATCCAGGTGCCAGAACATTTTTTAAGCAATGGGGATTATCAAATTGCAGCGGGAATTATCAAATGTTAACACATGGTCATGTTGCATGTTGTTGAATAGGGAAACTGTCTGAACTGTTTACATGTACGTGTATCAATTAATGTTTAATTCTTTAAAGCAACATGACAAGGCAAATGGGACAGGATATGGGGAAAATTGAGGAGAAAGTATGCCCTCCTCTTTCTTCCCCCCAACCTTTACTGCTTGATACATACATGTACATGTACATGTACCTACATGTACACGTGTAACAGTGCATGGTACAAAACCATCAAATGACACATCCAACTTGTTCACTGTCAGTACATGCCAGTCCAACATGCCCTCTTGAGGCATGCACAAGTCACAGTCAGAGATTTGAAATCTGATCTTACCCCAATTACTTGCTCATACCATGGATTATTAGCAAGCAGACAATTCCCACAGAGTCTCTTGATCAGTTTACAGTGCTTAAATGTCCACCTTACAAGTTTTCTTTCACACAGGCACTTACAGCAATTTGTTCTGTTGACATTTCTGGCTCATCCTTCATTCTGAACCATTTATTGCAGAATCCTTTGATAAATCTAATTTCTCAGCCTTTGATGCTTGAATGCTCTACTTTTAGTTTTAATCTGAGGAATCCAAGGGCATGAAATACATGAAGGCTTCAAATAACACAGAAGATTAATTCTATTAAATGACCTAAATTTTCATGTCTGCATGTCTGCTGTGTAGCATTTTATTGGGAAAAACTTTCATTTGGGATGGCTTATGCACATCAGAACAAAAATTCACTTCACATTGTTGAGAAATGCTTACAAAGACAATCCATTGTTATAGTAATGACAAAATATAGGTTTTAGCTTCAAGCACAATGTACTTGCACCAGTAATTGCACTCATATATGGAAATACAAGTCTGAACTTATAGTCAAACTCGGCAATCTGAGTACTTTGCAGGACTAGGTACTCAGAAAGAAGCACTCAACCACTAGAAATCAGTCTAGATCTAAAGTCAAGGTCATTTGAGTAAGTGACATCACTGACATTATTGACTTGAGACAGTTTTTAGCATTCTGGGCCATTCAAATTTTTTTTGTTCTGTTCTCCCTTTCCTTTTTCCTAATTTTTTTCGCCCTCTGCCTCCACCCCTCTGTGGCTGCTTCCTATTCTTCCCATTCCCCTGATTGGAAAATTCACATCTCCCTTGCCCGTTTGACAATTATTTGACTTTAGTGTTTTTCCTGATAGCTGCGTCTTGTGGTAGAATTAATGTGTATTTGGTTTCTTGACTTATTCTGGTATGTGTATAACTAGTGTTCCTTGGTACCACATTTTTCTATGCCTAATACTCTTCATTAATTGTGTACATGTCTACTTTGTTCATTTTGTTTGCTGTTTTCTCTGGTGATTTCTTGAGTTATGTATGAATAGTTAATATGAATATCTCTTTTTGTGTGGTGTACTTGTCATTTAAATCAATCTCGTCTATTTAATCAACCTCTCAAGCAGTGTTCTTGCAGCGCATTTTTTAACTTTATAACTTACTTGGTATATTCTATTTTATCAATACAAGATAAAATGCATTATTCTGGGCAGGCAAACGTTTGTTGTCAATCTCTCGCTCGATCAGCTGTTTGTTGCCATGGTGAAGTAAACATTAGGGCTGAAGTAAAGACACCCGGTAACCGGCACTCCTTGCTGGCAGGAGGCCAAGGTGATTCATAATCATAGCGATATGTAACTTCATTTTGCACAGGCGGAAATTGTTATACAATTGTCCCAATTAAGGGACTGCGCCAAAACGGTTTGCGCGCACAGGCCACNTCTCTACGATGAGACGGTTACACACGAGCGGTACAGGCAGGCGCGCGATCTCTACGTCAAAGCCATGGAGTTGGCGGGTAATTTGGTGGATCACAAAGAGAAAGAAGATTGGCTCTTTGGTATTGGACTAGCCAACTTTAAAATGTTCAGCATCCCGGCGACCATGTCGGCTGAGGCAAGGAAGGCAGCGTTGGACTTAGCTGTCAAAAACTTCCAAGCCATACTGACCAGCGCACAAGCGGATAACGCAATGAAGTGCGATGCATGGTTTGAGTTAGCCCGGACTGTCGATAAAGCACACAAGTTGCGGCCAAAAATAACGGTCGAAAATCTAACTCAACAGGCATGTCTGGATAAGGCACTTGAGGTGTCCCCAGATAATTCCATGGAGGCGCGCATTCTAGCTCGTAAAGCGTCTATTTGTTATTATGCTTACCCCAGAAATGGCTTTCAAGAGGCCATACATTTGCTAAAAAGGTCCATCGAACTCGACAGTTCCAAGATCAATTTTTCTGCCTACTCCAAGCGGGCAAATATCTACGTAAATGAGTACAAAAGCAGCCATAACGTTGATCTCCTGCATAGTGCGCGAGCTGACCTTGAGCACATCTTGAAGGAACATGTTTCTCCATTGGATTTTGAAATGCTGGCAAAGGTGTATTTCTATTTGGCAAAAAGCACCACCCAAGAAGAAGAATCCAAGGCATACATCCGGAAGGCTCTCCAGAACTGCACGAACGGCGAGGAATGTCACGACGGCAAAAATATAGTCAGCCTCCAAAAGCTCCGAGAACAAATTCAGAGGTACAGTGACCGACATTAAGAGGCAAAGGAGTCCTACCAGAAAGGCGTTGAAAGTTCTTTATATTAATCGGCTGTGTAATTCAATTAATGATACGGTATTCTTTATATCATTCACCTGAAAAAAATCACTATTAACGTCATTATCCCCTTTATATTTCTCAGCTTTAATTAAGTTGATTTCTGATTTTCTGCATTGTGCTATATGCTTGGGACGTGTATGTAACACTTAGACCTATCCTGTTTTAATCAGTCGATGTATTTCAAGTATTTTAAAAAAGTCAATTCATTATTTTCAATATTGTTTTCAGTCAATGAAATTCTGCGCTGAACAGCAATGAAGGGATGATTTTGAAGAAACGAGGATGCTTTTGTTTAATGAAATCCCCAATCACGAGTCAGAATGTCGTTTTTTCTCCCGTTTTTGACGTATAAAATAAGTTTATTTGATTTCAAAGAGTGCATGATGTAAATGAAACCATTTTGGTACATGTTTGCTTGGCTGCTGTCTTGCAGGCCAAAGCTTTTGTTTCATGGGAAAAAATCAGAATTAGTGCCATTCTCCGCTTTATATTTCTGAGCTTTAAGTTGATTTTTGATTTCAGTTTCGACGGGCACCGGGGCTGCTACGGAGAGCACCGCTGGGGACAGCGCAGCTGGTACCGTCAACCTCGCACCACTCATCACTGCATGCAGTCGGCCGGCCGGGGAGCGACACACTCCGGCCATAGCCCAACCAGCGCCCGCCCAAGCGGTGGATGTCCCGGAGGGCAGTTTTAGCGGGGATCCAGCTGCGCCCGGCGGAGGCCCTTCAAGTGGTGAGTCCATCCAAGGAGTTGCTCGTGGTCTGCAGCCTCAGCAGCAGGACTCTGTAGTTAACAATATAGCTAATCCTAGCATAGGCGTAGGCCTAGGTCTGAATTCGGCTGTTTGCAACGGGGTCAGTAATGTTGTCAGTAGGCCGGGCATTACCGATTCGGCCGGTAGGGATGTAATGCTCGCTAACACAGTTAGGCCTACA